CACCTGTCCCTTGATTGAGGTTCTGGGCAGAAACTGAATATCATACTGGCCGAGTTCAAGTGCCCACTTTGAAACGCGCCCTGATGCTTCTGCACTACGGAGTACCGACTGGAGGGGGTGGTCTGTTAGTACCCCGATGGTATGCCCCTGAAAGTAATGCATCAGCTTTCTCGCTGCCATGACAATGGCTAGAATGAGTTTTTCCAATGGTAGGCAGCGTGTTTCGGCGTCAACCATTGTCTTGCTCACATAATACACTGGCCGCTGCTCCCCCAGCTTTTCCTTTATCAGTACGGCGCTGGCGACCCGGTCGGAAATTACCAGATACAAAATCAGCGAGTCGTCTGCCGAAGGTGTTGTCAAGAGTGGAACTGATCGGAGGTAGGTCTTGAGGCCGTTGAAGGCGGTTTCGCACTCAGCAGACCATTCAAAAGCCTTGCCCTGCCATAGTGTATGAAAGAATTGTCGACAGCGATTTGTGTACCGACTGATGAACCTGTTGAGTACGGCGGCCATCCCCATCAACTTTTGAACCTCTTTCACTGAATGAGGGGAGCCAAGCTCCAAGATTGCTATGATTTGCCTCGGGTTGGCTTCGATTCCTCGGTGGTTGACAATGTAACCCAAGAATTTGCCAGAGCCGATCCCAAACGCACATTTGGAAGCGTTCAGCTTCATTTTGTATTTGCTTAAAATGCCGAATGTCTCTTCCAGATCGGCCAGATGAGTTTGCTCTTCTTTGGACTTGACCACCATATCGTCAATGTACACTTCCATAGTGTGGCCGAGTTGCTCCTTGAACATGACAGTGACTAGTCTTTGGTAAGTTGTCCCTGCATTCTTCAGCCCAAAAGGCATAACCTTATAGCAATAGGTTCCTCTTAGGGTGAGGAATGCAGTTTTGTCTTAGTCCTCCGGATGCATGGCAATTTGATGATAGCCTCTGTAAGCATCGAGGAAGCTCATGCGCTGATGGCGTGCCATTGCATCTACGAGTTGATCTATTCTGGGGAGGGGAAAACAATCCTTAGGGCAGGCTTTGTTTAGGTCCATGAAATCAATACACACATGCCAAGTCCTATTTTTCTTCTTTACAACCACAGTATTCGCAAGCCATGTAGGGTAGGTCACTTCCCTGATTGTCCCGGCGTCAAACAACCGGTCAACCTCTTCAACAACGGCGACAGTGTGCTCTGCGGCTGACCGCCGGCTTTTCTGAATGATGGGCCTGCATTTAAGGTCAACATTTAAACGGTGTTGCGAAACAGACGGATCTACACCCGGCATCTCATATGGAGTCCACGCAAATACACCAAGGTTGCCGAGCAGGAAGGAAATTAGCTGCTATCTGTCGACTTGATTCAGGGAGGCACCGACCATAAAGAACCTGTTTGGGTTTTCGTTGATTTCAACTCGATCTAGGGCTTCCGTGGCCTATTTACTTGGGAGCCGCCCAACATCGTCGAGGCTCTCCCGATCCATCACCTCAATAGAGTTCACATGCAACTCCTTTAGAGTCTTTTCAGCAAGGAGACAACATGCTTGTGTCGATTTCTGGGAGCCACGGATTTCCTCAATGCCGTGTTCTGTCGGGAAGCGTAGCAGCTGATGATAGGTGCTTGGCATGGCCTGCATAGTATGCAACCAAGATCGCCCCATGATGAGATTATACGACGATGGCAGCTTGACGACCAAGAAGTCCACATCCACTGTTCGGGAGCCCGCTCGAACGGGTAGTGTGATTTTCCCCAACGAGTATTCTGGATTGGCGTTGAAGCCGAATAGTGGATAAGGAGCGAAAGAAAGATTCGATTCAGAGAAGTCGAGTTTGGTGAATGTCTTTTAATACATAACTTCCGATGTGCTCCATGGGTCAATGAGTACGCGCTCAATGATGAATCGGTTTACGCGTAACTCGATTACCAAGGGATCAATGTGGAGAAGTGTCACTCCGGCCAAATCTAAATCATTAAAAGCAATGCTCGCAGCTTCATAGGGCCGTTTAGCCGAAGTGAGTTGATTTTGAAGGTCGGGATTCGACTGAATCGTATGCACCGTGGATGACATTGGCAGGCTGTATATCATGTGGATCACGCCGAGTGGGGGTGAATCCTGTCTTAAGGCTATTGCTTTGGTTAAGTTGGCTTTTCGGACGTACTGTTGTAGCCGACCATCTTGTACCAATTCCTCTAGGTGGTCCTTCAATGCATAACAACTCTCAGTATTATGACCATGATCCTTGCGATACTCGCACCGCCTATCCCGTTTTCGCGTGTCGGGAGGTCCCACCATTTTCGACGATCATTTGAAGAACGGAAGGTATTGGATTTTGGACATAACCACGCTAATCAGCTCTGACAACTCCGTATATTTCTTGTCGGTGCGCCTTGTGCGCCTGCTATTGACTTGTAGTTGTTCATTTGCCCGGTGGGAGCATTGGTTGCTTGATCGACGAGAATCCCGTCTCTTGTCTCGTTTAGCCCGATGCCGTGGTTCGGGGCTCTGAGATGGTACAGATTTTAACGGCTGAGCAAGTTCAGAAGGAGCCGTCTTATTGGCCACGTTTCCAGCTTAAACCCGCAAGGCGTCATCTTCCACTTTACAGTATTCCTCAACTTCCTTCATCAACGACCAGACTGTTTTGGGAGGCCGTTTGGTCAAAGAGTTGCGGAGGGCACTGTCGAGATGTAACCCCATCTTGCAGGCGATGATGGCCATGGAGTCATTGCAAGCATCATCTACCAGATTAAAACACTCCCAATACCGCACTGAATATGCACGAAGGGTTTCCCCCAGTTGAATCTACATTGCCCAAAGGGAATCAACTTGCTTTGGCTGGACCTCATTAGTGATAATTCTTGTTCTGAAGGATTTTTAGAGTTGGTGAAAGCTCTTAATCAAAGCCGACTCCAATTTATAATACCACCTGACAGCCAGTGGTCCCAAACTGCTCGAAAATATTCTGCACATGAGAGCCTCATCGTTTGCATGCAACGTCATGGCTTGCTTGTAATGGCGGATATGATCGGTGAGGTCCGATTTTCCGTCGTCCAAGGTGAATGATGGTGCTTTGAATTTCTTGGGTAGCACTGCCCTTGCAATTCGTCGTATAAAGGAATCATGTTGGTCTTCTTCATTTGAACTGTTTCTTCTTTGCTTATGCCTTATACGTGGACTCTCTTCAAAGGAACTGGTAGTTTCGGGTCGTCCCTTCTTCTTGGGCTCCGGGGATAATGAGTCGGAGTCGCTATCGATGTCTTGTTGTCGGGCTCGAGGTCGTCGGCCACCTGCCCTCAGAGGTCGTTCCGGATCTTGGCGTATAGCTTGTTTGGACTTCGCCACTTCCAAGGCCAAATCCTGCCGAAGACGTTCGTTCTCAGCGATCATGCTCTCCAATCTCTGTTCGTTTTGCTTTGCTTGTTCCATGATCACTTGCATTGTCTCATGTGCTAATGTCGAGGGTGAGGCGAAGTTCAAGGCGCGTCTTGCAGCAATAATCTCCGGTCCAAGCATGTTTATTGGAGTGAGGTCGTCTCTCTGTGTGGTTTTGTCAGTGACTACCGGAGGGTCTTCCGTTATGCCTGCCATGGATGTATTTGAGTATTCCCATAGACGGCACCAATTGTGGAGAAGTGGTTTGGAAATACTCTTCTGATCCTGGGGGACGCTCGTGATCCTCAGCTAGCCACCTGAAAAGGAATGAACACTCCGGTCGGGGGTGCCGGAATTAGCACTCCGACGGGCAAGTCAGTCTCTACTCTCTGGATTACTTGTATTTTAAGTTAAGCGTAATGGTTCTCACATACCTTTCTCTGACTGATGATCCTGTATTTATATTATTCTCTTTGGGCCCTAGGGCCAGGCCCATCCTCGATCCTTTACATGTACTTATACTCGGCCTTTGTTCTACTGATTGGAAAGCCGATTATTTTATTCGGCTCTTCAATTGACCAAGATCAATGCCGAATAAATATTATGTCCCGGACTAGACTCGTCCATTCGTCCCTATTGATCCAATGAAATTCGGCTCCCACAGAGACACATAGGAATTGTACAAATTACACATAACAGTCTGAAGAATTGTAACAGTAAATGATAATCACAATCAAATGTATAGTAGGCTTCAATATTATGTATCTCTAAAATCTCTAACGTTGGCAAATCCATTGAGAACCCTTAAATAAGAGAAAATCCCAAAACAGAAACTAAAGAAATTAGCTTCTACACAATTTATCGATATAAGAACTAAAATTAACCCAGCGGTATCTCGTGCAACAATTTCCAATGCATTCAAGTATATTTGAGGTCCAATAAATTTGCAATAATTCGACCCATAATACAACTTCAGAAGTCACTAAAGTTTAATCACGGTTGAACTTTTGAAAGCTTCTGAAACTCAAGTTGGCATTTTCAACTTTCCTTATACCTTAACATTCTCATTGTGTACTTCCACATATTTGATGATCAGATCAAAAGATACTAATACCTAGTTAATTAACAGCACTTAAGAGGATTCCTTCCAACAAATTAAATGAAATCTCCAGCACAAATGCATTATGAAAGACATGCCATTACAAAAATAGTGAAACACAAAACTTCCACCAAACAGCCAAGCCTAGAGGTTCAAGCCTGGCATTACATCCTGCAATTCAACTTCACAAACTCTTTTCTTTCACCAGTTTATCCTTTTATTCATCCAACTGAGGTAGGTGGTTAGCGGAAATTAAATCCTCATCCAGAAAATTAAGGTTCTTTAGATATTATCATCTGCACCTTAAGAAGAGAATTACTAAGACAACTATATATTTATAATCTCATCTACCACAATCAATAGAAAGCAATTTAATAGTAACAGTCAATAAAATTAAAAATCACAATAACATTGATATAAATAACTGCTTCCAGAAAAAATAAATAAATAAAATCATCTGCACAATCAAGTCCTGTCATGTTAGTGTAAAGAAGCAAAGTACAAAATTTTCAGTTAGACAGATACTTACTGTGCATATTAGAGAGAATCCTCAGCAGACTAATGAGCAAATAACTACTACCATGCTCATCATTCAAGGAACCTCCACTAACCACATTTTCCGGGTGTGTCTTTCTTCTACGTTTATTATGGCCTGCCAAACGCCTGCGACAACTTCTCTTTCCTTCATCGAACTCTTGAAGAACATGAAACCTGCCCATAGGCAATAAGTATACTCAAAATGTATCCAAATCTTCATGAAAAACTACAAAACGCCTCGTACAAGAACATCTTGCAAAGAATATTAAATCAAAATTCAGGATTTAAGCACAATTAAATTTTGTGACGCCTGATTCTGCCTCATTTCGGTTCATGTGATTAGCATAAACAACTGAATGGAAGGCCAGGCTTGTACATCATGACTAATCCAAAGATAATCCTAATTCTTCTCTGTGCAATTAAGCATATACTATAATAGAAAACCTTGAAAATAAATCCTCATACAAGAACTGACCTGCTACACTGCTGACAGAACCGCTGCATAACATTTCCCACCAATGCTCTAGTGGCCTTGGAATGCATATCACAAACCTTGTGTCGTCGGTGATAATCTTTGGCATTAGTCAAATCAACTTGACAATCCTCCACTTGACATACTGCACGGTTCGAGGTAGATGCAACCACTTTGCTCTTCTTCCCACACTTTCCCACAGATTTTTCCATCTCGGCTTCTGTGATAGGGTACACTTGCCCACCAAGCTTCAAATTAAGGGACCCAGCTCCATCATTAAACTCTTCATCCTCAACAACAACCACCCTCCTCCGTTTCTCCAATGCTCGCTTCCCTTTCTCATTTCCCAAATTGGTTTCTTCCGAACAAGATGATGAACTTTTTGACAAAGCGGTATTAATTGGAATTTCAGACACAACCGGGAATAACTGCCTACTCCGGCAATCCGATGGTACAGAATTAAGTGGAGCAGCAGTCAACAGATCCCCGTCCCATTTCCAATCATTTAAATCCCATTCCATACTCTTCTTCCCAACTGCCTTCAAATTCGGAATCACCGGACCATACAAATGATAAGCCTTTCCTCCAAATTGAGCCTCCATTAGTCAAAAATCAGAAACTCAAAACGTAAAATTTTTATAATTTTTTTTTTTTTTTTAAATCCCAGATTCCAATTCCACAGAACAAAGACACCGAATCCAACAACAACCCCAAGAGAGCACAAAGATGAAGCTGTACAATAACAAGCCTTAAATAATCACTAGTAACCTAAATTCACGAAAAAGTGAACCAGCCAAACGCCTTCTAATAAGCTTAAAAAGGCCCCCAGAAATCCAAAAACAGCCCACCGACACAACCATGAGTCCAAAGAAGGGCAAACCACATGCCCAAATTAAACCCTTAAATTAACGAGTGATTGGCTCACCAACATCATAACAACAACCACAATCTCTAATTTCCATTAGCAAAGAGCAATCTAAGTTCGATAACACACCGTCATGAACAGAAATACTAATCAAAATCAATAAATTAACTGTAATTCAAGACCTAAAAAAAAAAAAAGACAAGAACAGAGAACCAACTTGCCGACAGAGGTGGTGGTCGTGGTGGCGACGCTGGATCCGAACAGCTGTAGGTGGTGGAGTTGCGTATCTGCCAAGATCGGCGGCGATACACAGAGAGAGAGAGAGAGAACAGCGAGGTGAGAGATGAGATGAGGTGCTGAAAGTAGAGGCGAAAATGAAAAAGGTGCCGAGGGCTGATAGCTTAATAATACGAAATTAAAGAAATGTTATACTCCTATTAAATTAATACCAATACACTTTTTTTTATTATTATTAATACTACAATACACTTTTTTTATTATTATTAATTTAAATTTATTACTAGTATTTATTTTATTTTATTTTTTGAACAGGATTTATTACTAGTACTTTATTGACAGGAATCTAAACCCGACGTGACGAGGTCCATGTGTCTCTCTCTTACGAAATCACGTTTTATATACGGTACATATATATATATATACACTACACTAATAATTAAATTTTACTACTATACTACTACCCGCACATAACATGACTCATTTTTACGCACTTTTATTTGACTGCGTACGGTACTCTAAAAATAGGAGGCCTGTATACAATTTTCGAGAGTATTAGAGCGGGATAGGACAGGGTTGTTTAAGAGCATCCCAACAGATTTGTTATATCCACCTTTTAGATCTTTTGTATAAATATATATATATATATATATATAAAAAAGCAATTTATTAATTTATTTAAATTATATTATCATTTTATTTTATTTTTAATTAATGTATTTAGTTTCAATTTCTTGAATTCAATTTTTTAGAAATTTAATTTTTTTCATTTAGATGTATCTAAATTATATTTTAAGGAAGAAATAAGTGGCTTGTTTGGTTTGTGTTTGTAGAGTAGTTTTTGAATAAAAAATACGAAAACTTGTTTGGTTTGCCTTTTTTCAGAAATGATTTTGGAAAATTATTTTGGGGAGAGAGTTTTAAAAAAAAATGATTAATTTGATGTGTATGAGAGAGAGAGAGGAAAAATGTATTAAATTTTCATATATTTTTGTATTTTTTGGTATTATGTGAATTTTTTAAAGATTTTTTTCACATATATTATACTTTTTAAGTGTATTTATGTTAGGTGCGTTTAAAAATTAAAAAAAATTACTTAAAATATTAAAAAATTAAACGAAAACAAAAAATATAAAAAAAAAAAGTAAAATTTTTTGAAAATAAATATTTTTTCTACTCCTCAAAACAAACCTTAATCAAAATGAGTGTTTTTTTTTTCTTGTCAAAAAAACCTCAATAGTTCCCTTATCTAATCCCTTTGGTTTTTTTATTTTTTAACTATTTTTTAGCTTAGGGCTAAAAAGTCTCATTTGGCATAGGCTTTTTGGATTTTTTGACTTTTGTAAGAGAAAAAATAAAATAATTATAAGTTAGATGTAATGTTTTGTCTTATTAGATTAAAAAGTCTATTTTATCTTTTCATGATTATTTTAACTAAAAAACCTTCAATTTTTTTATGCCAAACTAGCTCTAAGATATACAAGGGTCACTACAAAGAGTCACTAGCTTCACCAAACATATAAAATTATTATTTTGCTCTAATGTGTCATTGGCAGCCCATGGGTTTGCCAGAAAAAACAGAATTTATATATCGTTTGCATTTTGAATCAATTATGATTGGTTTATTTGTTGATTACAATCATTATCTGAAAAGAATGAATTATTAGATCTTTTTTTTTGTTTCTTATTTGGATTTTTATTTATTTAATTTAAAATTTAAAATTTGTAGGTCCTTAATAATCAAAAATTATCTAATAGTTTGGAAACGCATATGTCCATGTGCCCATTCAATAATATTTTATAAATTGTCTACAACTTAATTAAAAAAAATAACAAAGAAATATAATTTGTCTACTATTTAATTAAAAATAATGAATAAATAATATTTAAATCAAATAGAGAAATATTATGGAGTATTAATGTTGGAGAAAGTAGTTGAAAAAATGACTCTCTAAAATAAGGAATCAATTTTTTAATTATATTTTAAGGAAGAAATAAGTGGCTTGTTTGGTTTGTGTTTGTAGAGTAGTTTTGAGATAAAAAATACGAAAACTTGTTTGGTTTGCCTTTTTTCAGAAATGATTTTGGAAAATTATTTTGGGGAGAGAGTTTTAAAAAAAAATGATTAATTTGATGTGTATGAGAGAGAGAGAGAGTAATTTTGGAAGGAAGCAAACCAAACAAAATTTTGAGATTTTTTTTAGAAAAATTTGTTTGGTTTGATTACTCTTGAAAATTTGTTTGTAGAGAATTTTTTCTAAAAAATTTTCCCAAAAACAAACCAAACAATTGGAGATATTCTAAGCTCATCCAAAAGAGCAAGGATCATCTAGAGTGATTTTTCCCTAAAGTTTCCTAGAGTGTTACATTATGTGGTTGAGATTTACTGGCAAGTCACATCAGAAAAATTGATGTGACTTGTCAGTAAATCTCAACCACACAATGTAGCACTCTAAGAAACTTTAGGAAAATTTCACTCTAGAGGATCCTTGGTGCATCCAAAACTCTATTTGTGAGTCAAGATTATTCACCCAAGTCTAACTTGATACTTCTGAGTTATCAATAAACTCAAGGTTTGTTTTTATGCAACTAGATTAATTAATTTGTTAAAATTAAACTCTACCAATATGTTTTGATAACAGATGAAATACTAATAAATCATTAAAATACATATTGGTAGAGTTTAATTTTTCTTTTGTCTTTTTTCACCTTCTACCACTGCCGTAACCTAGCTTAACCTTAGTTCATTAATCATTTGGAATGACAGTATGGGCTGAGACCACATAAATACAAATTTTATATTTGAAAATGTATTGTTAATTTATGTACTTTTAAAATACATATTAAGATGGTTTTAAAATTATATATTTTTTATTGTAAGCATTTTTATATAAAAATGTCTATTTTTATTTTTTAAACTTCTTAACATATGTCTTAAAAACATAGAAAAGTGATATGAGAGTCCTCTTGCACATACGGCATGTAGATGTCACCATGATTGAAAAATAAAAATAAAATAAACAAGTCTTATCTAAAATATAATTTTGATATCATGTTAAAAAACAATATATTACAAATCTCTAACACTCTTTCTCACATATTATCTAATCATATATTGAGAAAATACGAATTACTAGTTAATTTTTTCATACTATTGTTATATTGAATTCAACATACGAGTTTGCATATTTTGATTGTGTCTACCAAGCTTAAATTGAGGGTTGGTTTGTGATGTTTGAAAAAAATGTACTTTTTGACTTATAGGCTTATTGTGTATTTATTTAGGATAGCCAAACTTAACCTTAGTAGATGCCAAACTTGGCCTAAATATAGTATAATGTTTGCTTTATTGAATGGCAATTAATTTTTTTATAATAATTTTAACATGAATGGATGGTACAATTTTGTATTATACTAATTCAATGGTTACATATAAAGATACCATTATTGTACGTTGTTATAGATACGTAAGGTTGGTAAGCATGGAAAGTAAGTTAGGTATTTTATTTATTTATTTTATTTGCAGGGGGAAATTTAGTAGGACAACTTTAGATAGATTGGTAGAAACTACTCAAAAAGGCTGGTGGGGCCGGGGTGGGGCTTCAATGACAGGTCAGGCCACTTAAAGACTTTGTTCTCATCTTCTTCTTCTTTTTTATTTTATTTGTGGGTGTGGGAGTATGGTGGGGCCGGATTGACAACGAATTTGTTTATATAATTTTATTGTATGAATAATACATAAATTTTATATTTAAAAAATTTAATGGCTCTACTTAAATGTGTAGATGTTATTATTTTTTATTAATTACAAAAGTGTAAGAATAAAATCTGACTCAATAAGACTTACACAATGATACATAGTAGGATGCACCCAAAATATAAAGCCTTGTATTTTTATTTTTTCTTGTTGTTTTTTAGAAAATTAGAGACGAAATCATTCTGATTTACGAATAGCATTTAATAATTTATTTTTAAGTGTATGGGTGAGATTTTAAATTTAGAGAATTTGCATCTCGGTGAAAATTTTAAATTTTTTTTATAAGTTTAAAAATATTTTTCCAAACATCAACTCATTTAAAATTATCTCATAAATGTACAGCAGGAGATTCGAGCACATGTTGAACTCTGTGTTGTCAATTCCTTTTAAATTTCAACAATGAGCGATATAAGTGATGATGAAATGTTCTAATGTAAAAAATAAAAATAAATAATAATAACAACAATTGAATGGTTTAAAATATCAAGAATAAATATTTATTTTTTGTAATCCAAACCTATAATTATTAGTATTCGATCATTTTCAATTTGTTTGACTTTGGTTTTTAGAAAACACTTTTCATAAAATTTTACATTCTTATTTTTTGTATTTTTTTTTGTTTTCAATTAATTTTTTTTAATATTTTAAGTAATTTTTAAAATTTTTAGATACACCTAATATAAACACATTTAAAAGTATAATATTTGTGAAATTTTTTTTTTACAAAAATCACTAAATACCAAAAATACAACAAAAAAAATATGAAAATTCAATACATTTTTTCACAAATATTTTATTATTTAAATACATTTAAGTAATGTGCATTTAAAAAAGTAAAAAAATTTGTTTAAAATTTTAAAAATATTCATTAAAAATGAAAATATTAAAAACAAAAAACAAAAAACTCAACTTTCAAAAAAATGAATACATAAAACTGAAATAAACACACTATGTGATTTTTTATTAATATTTTATTCAATATCTTAAAAATAAACTGTTCAAATCATAAAAAATAATCGCAAAATGAGTTCACCAAACCTAAACACTCTCAGTTTAACCATCTCCAAACCAATAAAATTTAGGGCAAATTACATATACCTCCCTCAAGGTTTAACAAAATTACAGATATCCCTGAGGTTTGAGAAATTACAGATACCTCCCTGAAGGTACTATTTGCATAACAAATTAGGGGGTAAATTATTATGGAAATATAAACCTCAGGGGGATATCTGTAATTTTCGAAACTTCAAGGGTATCTGTAATTTAGCTAAACCTCGAGGGAGATATACGTAATTTGCCCTAAAATTTATCTATCTATACTATTATTAAAGAGTGCTACTATTAGCACCTACATAATTTATTTGGACCTCCCAATTTCTACTTTT